CTCACGAAGGGCAGGAAAGCAGCTGTGGTGCCACGCTGACAAGACTTGCTAGAAATCCATCCTTTGGGTCTGGGGACCAGCAGTCTGTGTTTCCACGAGCCCTCCAAGTGATTCTGGTACATGCTAAGGTGGGAAAACCACTGCGATCACAGTAAGTTGTGGGAGCTTGTTGTGCAGGCTTGGAGGGAAGAGTCAACAGGGATTTCTTTTTCTGAATCTTGGTCTCAATTTAAAAAAAAAGTTTATTTATTTTGAGAGAGAGAGAGCGAGCATGAGGGGAGGGCAGAGAGAGAGGGAGAGAGAGAAGCCGAAGCTAGCTCTGTGCTTTCAGCTCGATCTCGCAAACTGTGAGATTGTGACCTGAGCCAAAATCAAGAGTTGGACGCTTATCTGACTGAGCCACCCAGGCGCCCCTTGTCTCAATTAAAAAAAAAAAAGTTTACTTATTTTTGAGAGAGAGAAAGAGAGAGAGAGAGAGAGAGACTGCAAGTGGGGGAGGGTCAGAGAGAGAGGGAGACACAGACTAAAGCAGGCCCCAGGCTCTGAGCTGGCTGTCAGCACAGAGCCCGACATGGGGCTTGAACCCACAAACCGTGAGATCATGATCTGAGCCGAAGTCAAATGCTTAACTGACTAAGCCCCCTAGGTGTCCCAACTCTAGTCTCAATTTTTAATTTTGAAGACAGCGTATCTTTTGGGAGATCTGGAAGCCAGCAGGGGGCATGTTATTGTATCTCCACTTTTGCATTGAACTTGACTTGTGGGCGTGAACATACCAGATATGCTCACTTCAGTAAGAGAGTCTGTTTTTGACGCTCTCTCATCTGCAGGTCATGATTCCTTGATTAGGGCCCTGAACCTGCTCTTGCAATTTCCACCTATTTCTGCATTTGCAAAAAAAAGGGGTGCAATGCCTCTTCCCCTTTCTCCATGTCCTTGCTTTTCCCTAATGCTCCACCTGGGACAGAGTGTTGGGAGTACAGCTACAGCCCCAAGCCCACGGTCAGCACCGCCGGACAGCAGGATGGAGCGCGCACTGGTGAGCAGAGCTCCCTCCTTGACTAGGCTCCAACCCCGGAACAGAAGGCGTCATGTTTCCCTGACTCAGCCCTCGTCTCCCCAGGCTCCTCGCTTTGCTCTCTTCAAAGCAGGGAGGGCAGATGATGTAGTCTGGCAGATGATTTTTCTGCCCTTCTCTGCTTTAGCATTAAAAATGTGTGTGCGTGCGCGTATTTGAGTGGTATGCGGATTGGGGCCTGGCCCTGGTCCCGCCGCTAACTAGCTGCATGGGGTTGGGCAGGTCCCCAGCGCTGGTTTTAATTTCCATACTGAAATACAGAATGTTGGACCATAGCATTTAGGATTCTATGTACTACCACAAGCATATCCTTAAAAGGGAACTTGGATTTGAATCTCTCCCTCTACTCTGACAGTCCAGTCCCTTTTTAATTCCCTCCTCTGATATTAAGAACGAAGAAACCTTCCTACAAGTTCACCTAAAAGGACTGAGGTTACTTATGCACAGAGAGTGAAGACTTCAGCAGGTTCGCTCTTTTCTGTATAGAAGAGCACGTGCCTTTTGAAATAGATATAATGTCCCATTCACTGCATGGGTTAGAGGAGCTGTAGCCAGAAATGAGGCACTCGTGTCTTTATTTCCAATTCCTGGTTTATTCCTCACTGAGAATGGTAAACAAAAAGATATTGCCTCTCAAAGTGCTTTGAATATTTCAATTTTTAAATTTTTACTATTTATTTTTGAGAGAGAGCAAGAACAAACAGGAGATAGGTGGGGCGGGGGGGGTGGCGGACAGAGGATCTGAAGGGAGCTTCATGCTGAAAGTGGAGAGCCTGACCCAGGGCTCGAACTCACGAACTGTGAGATCATGACTTGAGCTGAAGTCAGATGCTTAACCGACTGAGCCACCCAGGTGCCCTGAATATTTCCATTTTTAACGTCTGTTAAAGTTTTTCTTTTCCCCTTTCAGATAAAGCCTCTCTCTGACCTATTCCCCATGCTGAAATGGGGAGAAAAGTCAAGTGTAATGATTCTCAATCAGCGGGGACATCCCTCTGTGCTGGGGGTAAGGGGTGAAGAGGGTATTTCAGAAATTCCTGGAAATGATGTTTGAAAAATTGTATCTAGATTTTTATTCTAGAAGGAATCCCTCCTGTTTTGAGAACAGGAATTTGGAATTACAGCAACCCAAGCTGAATAAAATCATGGCCCGGGAAGGTATGCAGAAAAAAGGTTGGGCAACTCGGTCGGTTGGGCCTCCGACTTTGGCTCAGGTCATGATCTTGCAGTTTGTGATTTTGAGCCTCACATCGGGCTGGCTGCTGTCAGCACAAAGCCTCCTTTGGGTCCTCCAACCCGCCTCTCCCCTGCTCACACTTTCTCAAAAATAATAAACATTAAAAAGAAAAAAAGGGGGGGGTGCCTGGGTGGCTCAGTTGGCTAAGCATCCAACTTCGGCTCAGGTCATGATCTCACAGTTCAGGGGTTCGAGCCCCTTGTCGGGCTCTGTGCTGACAGCTCAGAGCCTGGAGCCTGTCTTCAAGATTCTGTGTCTCCCTCTCTCTCTGACCCTCCCCTGCTCCTCACGCTGTCTCTATCTGTCTCTCAAAAATAAAGAAAACATTTTTTAAAAATTAAAAAAAAAAAGTAAAAAGAATAAGAGGCTGTGGCAGGCGCTTTTGACTGCTCACCTGTGCCCTCCTTCCTTGCTGAAAGAGGCTTGAATTTGTTCCCGTGGCAGCATTCCCAGACAATGAGTCATATTGGGTCAAATCTATCATGACATCCTCTATCAGCCTCCCTTGCAGTGAGAGGTGGCCATGTGAGCACTTCTGGCTCCAGAGACATACGGAGTCTGTTGGGGACATTGCTGGGTGACTCTGGAAGGCATGTGGCTACCTGTGCGTGTACCTCCCCACACCATCTTCCTGCCTGACTGCTGACACCATGTCGGGAATTTCCAATGCCTTCCTGTGACCTGGTGATCGGTCCACAAGCCAAGGATGGAAGACCCTGGCTTTTTTTCCTGACATTTTTGAGTTGCTGCAAAAGTAGAGGTACGGATAAATATGACAACCATTAAATTTGAATTTCAGAAAAACATCAGTCTTACATATGTAGTATTTGAGACTTATTTATACTAAAGTTACTGATAAAGAACTACAGTTTATCTGAAATTCAAATTTAACTGTGTCCTCTAATTTTGTTGTTATTTTCCCCTAAATCTGACAACTCGGCATGCAAACCCTAGACTGCCTACCTTGAACTTTCTTCTTTTGTGAACAAAAAAGTAAACCCCAATGAGTTTAAGTTACTACTACTACTACTCAAATAAGATATTGGTTGCATGTGAATCCATCCCTGATGTAATAGGAAGTTATAAAAAGTGCCCGATGTTTTTTGTGTGTTCACTCTGAGCCAGACACTGCTGGTTAGCAGGGGTGTGTGTGGAGGTAAGTCACAGAGGTAAGACCTGCCTTCACGGAGCTTCCGTGTAGCTGGAGAGCCAGCCACTAAATGAGCGATTCTGTAGGTGGCAGCACAATTACAATAGCGCTTCGTGCGTTGATGGACAGGTGGGGCAGCTCTGAGGGAAGTCCTCTGTGAGGTAGGATGTCAGGGCTCTGTGGAGGGACAGGCCGGTTGGAGGGAAAGGTTGTGGCATCTGCTCTGAGTGTGCCCGCCGTGAGGCTCCGGAAGGGCCCTGGTAAGTTTGGAGAGAGGAGGTCACAGCACCAAACAGCAAGGGATTGAGTGATGGGCAGTGAGAATAGAGAGGCACACTGCAGCTAGTTCAGGGAATGCCTTGGGGGCCACATTAAGGATGTGGAATGTGATTCTTACTCTACGCTACACCCATGCTAAGTACTGTTGATATTCCCATTTTACAAGGAGGAAATGAACACTTTGAACGGTTTGATCAAAGTCATATAGCCATTAGATGGAAGAACTGTCATTTGAGCTCAGGGTTTGTTTTTTTGTTCTTTTTTGCTTTTTGTATAGTGTATGTGACCCAAAAAACCCTCCCTAATTGTCACTGAGTACAAGCTAGTTAGAAACACAGAAATAATGAGAGCTGATCAAATGAGTCTGTAATGATCACTTAAAGTTAATATAACAACATATTTGTATTTGTAAAGATTGAGAGGATTCTGGGCAATCTGCTAAAAAACAAGAGGCTGATCAGTACAATAGATAATTTAAATTCCAGTATTAAAAGAGACCTCAAAATATTATAGAATTCAGATCTCCTGTCTCTTCCTTTCACTGAAAGGTACTATGTATCATTTAAGTAACTGTAACTTATTTCTGTGACTTCAGACCATTGGTTTGACAAGAACCAAAACAAAACAAAAGACATCATTTGTAACAAAGTATCAGCGTGAGAGACACAACGACCCAGTGGCTTCACACACACACACGCAAGAAACAGGAACAGCAGGGACAGTGACAAAATCCACACAAAAAAAGCCATTGTAGTAAATTGTTGATTCATTCACCGTGACTGCTACTCTGGGTAAAGCCTTTATTTGCTGGAAATAGGCATTGACCGACACTGGATGGTAATGAAGATTATTAAAAAATTAAAAATAGAAATATATCACTGTGCTTTACGTCTAAGGTTAATCCTTTGTGATCTTTGTGTGTGTATATGTACACACATATCACACACATATATACCTCCATACACACACACACACACACACACACATGCACACACACATAGACACAAACACAATAGGTTACATCTATACTGGATTGTGAGGGAAATCTTATTTCGTACTGGGTCCCATTCGGAAAAGTTTGACAATCATTGGTCTAGAGGAAGTGACTCATTTGTGAGCTCTGCTGTATCTTTGTACTCCTTGGAGTAAGAACAACTCGTCAAGGTAAATTCCTGCCCATTGGTCTGGGTCACTACTTGCTGTTCCTCACGTCGGGGAAAGCATGGGTGATAGCACAAACAAACGAACTACAGCTGTCATCATACCAAAGTACATATTGTATCTTGGTTCAGGTTCTTAAATATAGTCCTTCAAGTTTCCGTATTCATCCCAGGAAGGGTATCAGTGCACTTCATCTTCATGTTGTCACGTGCAAACCTGGGGGACAAATATAAGCAGAAAAGAAATTAATAGAGAATTCCAATTCTCATTTTGTTAAATCTTCATACAATCCACCTTAATCTTAATGTTGAGGTCACAGGGATTCTGGGACCAGAAATGCTCATTTTCCATAAAGAACTAAATAGGGGCCGAGTCTCATTCTTTTAATGCTTGATTAAATTTAAGCCTATCTGAAAATATCAGATATCCAATATCATTTGCATTTGGTATAATAATCATTAGCTTCAAGGAATGAAATAGTTTGAAAACTAGAAGAGTATCAAGAGGGGTGGCTGTCTGTACTGGAATTATTGTTTTGGAATGTTATCCTTGATTTGGGAAAAGAGTACTGGCACCTCTAATCTTTTCTCATAAACCAAGGAAGCATACCTAAGCCCGACTTCGTGACTTTGGCTTGAAACTCAATGATAAATCTATTGTATTTATGGAACTTAGTTTGTTTTGGGAAAACTCATTTTTGGTATAGTCACCTCTGAAGTATGTAAATATAAAGATGACTATAGTCTTTGACCAAGCAAGTACTACTTCTGAAAAAAATTTTTAATTCTTTTAACGTTTAGTTTTGAAAGAGAGAGAGAACGCACGCGACATCGGGGGTGGGGCAGAGAGAGAGGGAGACAATGAATCTGAAGCAGGCTCCAGGCTCTGAGCTGTCAGCACAGAGTCTGATGTGGGGCTTGAACTCACAAACTGTGAGATCATGACCTGAGCTGAAGTTGGACGTTTAACTGACTGAGCCACTCAGGTCCCCTTATAATTCACTTCTAATGAGCAAAATAGAACTCAGCCTTGACTCCTTTAACTAGAAGGGCTGTTTAGTTTCACTCAGTTTCATTATATAATAAGCTCTATAAAGCTCCTGAAATACCAAACGTTAATGTGAAAACAGAAACGAGCATGGCGATTAACCACGTAACGATGTAAGAGACTCATGGGAACAGCAAAAAAGTACTGACTGTGTGTTCATTAAAATGGTAACACTGCTGATTGGTGGGAATTGAAGTGATTATTTTCTTTTTTATATTAAAATTTTTAAAAATAATTAATGTGCTTTTAAACTGAGATGGAAATGCACGTTTCCCCCCTTTTCCTTCCCATATGCGGGAGCCCATCTCCTGTCAACCCTTGCCAGCTCCTTCCTCATATATGTGGCCGCGTTGGGCCCCTTCAGAACCATCACAAGTGTGCCAGACAGAAAGCCATCTCCATGAAGACACACATTCTCAAGAGGACTTGGAATGGTCTGGTGGCTACACCGCCTTATCATGGGGAGACTATGTAACGATGACGGTTTGCCTCAAACGCTGAATTTAAATAAGGATTAAATTAAACATAGAACATTGTGTTTCTTACTCTCCTGGGTCATTTGTTTCATTAATAATGAAGCTCAATCTCTGCTTCCCTCTCGTTATTATTACTTTCCTGCAATTGTGATGGTCTGCGCTCAGGGTAGAACTCGAGTTGAGCAGGTTCGGGAGGTGCTCTGGGAGGCCTGCGGAGTCGTGCGTGGAAACACAGGCTGGGCCTCCTGGCTTGCTCACCCCCAGCTCAGGGTTAACCCAGGCCAGGCCGAGGACCCGTCCAGGCGGCCCAGCCAGGGCACCGCGGTGCCAGAACTGGGAAAGGTGGTGGGTTACTATAAATAACATCAGGACTTACTTAAGCAACTGGGGGGGGGGGAGTAGGGGGGATACCCCCAACATAGATCTTAAGAGGTAAGAAAAGCTCACCTAGTTTGGATTTTCTATCTCTTCTAACATTTGGGGTTTTTTTCTACTTAACTTTACCCAACATCTAGAACACAGACAAGATAGCCTTAAAAGGCGAAGTCGAATATGGCCTCTAGGGCGTAAGCAAGGGAAGAGCGGGTGCCACACACGTGGGCGTGCACTGTCTGCTGGGCTTTCAGTGTCCCTCAAAACACACCTGTTGTTCTTGGCCTTGGCACGGATGGCGCATGCCGGCGTGTGCCACGGAGCGGGGTGCTTTGCCGGGGCTCCTTGATTAAGGCTCCTTTCACCTTTATCAGGAGACAGATCCCAAGGCCAAGCTCGATAGAGTATGACTTAGTCACTAAAGAAATGGACGTGAGGGGCGCCTGGGTGGTTCAGTTGGTTGAGCGTCTCACTTCAGCTCAGGGCATCATCTCTCTGTTTGGGAGTTTGAGCCCCACATCAGGCTCTGTGCTGACAGCTCAGAGCCCAGAGGTTGCTTCCGAGTCTTTGTCTCCCTCTTTCTCTGCCCCTCCCCACTCATGCTCTTTCTCTCAAAAATGAATAAGCATTTATTTAAAAAAAAAAAAAAAAAAGAAGAAAGAAATGCACTTCATCACTGGCCATTAATAAGAGAATGGGCAGGTATAGGTGTCCAGCAGCTAAAACACCCTGCAGTATCTCACAGGGCCAGGAAGGGGAGCCAATAACCCTCAGAACGAGGCCTCGGCTCAGGTGCTATGATTTATAAAGGCTGAACGCCCCCCCCCCCCCCTTTGCCCTACACCTCTTTATAGCCGTTCATGTCAGTGCCAAGTTTTCCCGCCTTTCAGCCAAATAACAGAAGGCAGGGGTGCGCTGGCATATCTGCCAAGGACTGTAAGTTCTACTTAGAAGAAACCTTAAAACACTCCTGAAATTTCCTCAAACAGGCTCCTGCCTCCACGAAGGGCTGAGCCTGAAACCAGGAGTGTGGAGGATCAGCGGGCTGGCTGGCCAGGCTCGGTCCCCTTGGGAGAGAGGAATTCACAGAGAAAAAAGGAACTCTAATTCTTATTAGAGACAATGACATCAGACTAGGGTAGTTAAACGCACGTAACGCTGTCCACCCCAAGTGTGACCCCTACTGTCCTGAGTGAGCACTTTGCATACGTTCACCATGGAAACCCTTTTAGTTCTAATAGTTCAAATAAAACAGCCGCTGGATCTAGAGTTTTCTGCTCCTTCGTGCTTTTTCATTCTTCTGGTTTCTACCTCCTGCTGTGCTTTCCCTTTGGGGAATTTCTCCCCCTAAACAAAAGGCCTTTTAGAGAGGCATTCAATTACAAGACGGGTGCGTGATCCAGCCCTCCCCAATCAGAGTATGCCATCTCCCCGGCCAAAGTGATGGGGTTAGCACAAGGCACGTGACCCAAGCAGGACCAATCAAAATCTTCCCTGGGAATGTACAGCCTGGCTAACATGTAAAACTGCTTTTTAAGAAACTGTTCCAAATAAAGATTTTTAAACATATGCTAAAGCAGTGAGAATCACATACAAACCCCTCGGAACCCAACACTCAGCTTCAACATTTATCAACTCATGGGAAATCTTGGGAAAGGATTAACAGTCTTTTATTACCGTTGAGCCTAGAAGGATGTTGAGTGTAGGAGGATGGTTCTGCCAACAGCCATGGTATATGTCGGTGGAGAGAGTCTGACTTCAAAAGATATTGAAACAGAACATGGAATTGTGGCAGAGCCCCGAAGATGACATTTGAGCTCCTTGATCCAGCTGAGCCTGAAGCCACTGCCACCCCTGTACTTTGTTTGTGCTTAAGCCAGATAAAGGGAAGTTTCTGGTACATGCAAAATGGGTCATCTTATAGGAAAACCTTAAGGAAACACTCAATAAATACATTTTTAACATCTTGTGAGGGTTTTTTTTTTTTTGAGGTATTTGGGAAAATAAATTAATGGGAAATCTTCAAGAGGCATAAAGGAGAAGGGGGACTCTAGACTTATTAAAATGAGATCACCAGCATTTTAAGTTCACTCTGCCCAAAGGATAATTTGCATCCCATTGAAATAACAGCCATCTACTAAACAATTTAAACTACATAACGTAAACATATTAAGGGATGTTACAACGGGTGGATGTTTTCACCCTTAAAAAAAAAAAAAACCTCATAAACAAAATAATCAAGTCCCCAAACCCATTCAGAGTCTCTGATTCTGAATTATTTCAAAGCAATGAATGAATGGATACAAGGACTCCTATGTTGGCATTCTGGTAAGCCATTCTTGGGTATGAAACGAACTATTTTCCTGGCCCTTCCTTCACCATCCACAATACTTACCCTTTTGCTTTCCTAGTTCTTGTATTAGATCTTCATACACTTCTTTAAAGAGGTCCTCTTCAGATTTTGTTCCATCCAGGTAAACTGGGAAGTAGAAAGGAGGGTTGGTCTGTTAGTACACGATTCTTACTCAGGCACTAGACATCTCTTAAGAATATGAACAGGTTTGGGGCACCTGGGTGGCTCAGTCTGTTAAGCGTCTGACACTTGGTTTTGGCTCAGGTCATCTCACGGCTTTGTGAGTTTGAGCCCTGCATCAGGCTCTGCACTGACAGCGGAGCCTGCTTGGGATTCTTTCTCTCTCTCTCTCTCTCTCTCTGCCTCTCCCTCACTCAACACTCTGTCTCTTCAAAATAAATAAATAAACTTAAAAAAAAAAAAAAAGAATACCAATAGGTTTAAACAAGGGATAGAGGGCCATGACTTAAAAAAGAAATTAATAGCCATTAAAGACAGAAATAGATTACAGTCAGGAACAAGAGGTTAAAAAGATTTGATTTGAGAAACGCATGCTAGCAGATGTGGAAGTTATTTTTTGAAAAAGCAAGAGTGAGGTGGTGCTGTGCATGTGGCACTTTAGGAGCACTGAAGAGGTGTGTCCCCGAAAGAATCATTTAAGAGGGTGGTTCTCCAACCTACGTATGCATCAGGCTTGCCTGTGAAGCTTCTTGAATCACACAGGGGTCTGGGCTGTGCCACGTATGTACTGACTCAGAATTCTCCAGGCCCAGGAGATATTTTTACCCAAACTGGCATGGTTAATTTTGGAGAAAAAGAGGAAGTTATGTAGGTTAAAGGACGGAAAGAACCCTTTAATCATAAAACTGGAGGTAAGGGGGTGCCTGGGTGGCTTAGTCGGTTAAGCAGCCGACTTTGGCTCATCTTGTGGTTCACGAGTTCGAGCCCCATGTCAGGTTCTGTGCTGACAGCTCAGCTGTGAAGACAGCTGCTTCAGATTCTGTGTCTCCCTCTCTCTTTGCCCCTCCCCCACTCACACTGTCTCTTTCTCTCAAAAACAAACATTAAAAAAATAATTAAAAAGAACTGGAGGTAAGAGATAGACTTTCCTGTTAAGAAAAGGATGCACAATTTCGAAGGGCTAAAAGGTGGGAGGCGGGAACACAGCAGAGATGAGGTTTTACAGCAAGGCTGTCTATGCCTTAGTCTTTAGGGGCCTTGAAATCTAGATTTTATACCAAAAAGCTGGGGAATCTTTGAAGGTCTGTCAGCACAGTGGGGGCATAGTTAGACTGGTGTTTTAGATGCAGAGGGAGAGTGGCACTCCGTACCTATTTTGTCACCTTGTTTTACTGAGCACATGTGCCCAATGTCACACACTCTGCATCTACCCTCACAGGGCCAGGGGAATCTCACGAAAACACGAATTTGATAGCAACTGTGTCCTCGTTTAAAATCTTCTTAAAGTTTATTTATTTTGAGACAGAGAGAGAGAGAGAGCAAGTGCATGAGCAGGGGAGGGGCAGAGACAGAGGGAGAGACTCTGAAGCACCAGCGAAGCTGTCAGCGCAGAGCCCCATGAGGGGCTTGAACCCACAAACCGTGAGAGCATCACCTGAGCTGAAATCAAGAACAAGACACTGAGTCATCCAGGTGTCCCTACGGTGTCCTTGTTTAAAGCCTCTCTGTAGAGGGCGTCCCACTTCTCCCAGGATGATGACCCAAGTCCTTAACTGGCCTATGGCCTTGTAGACTTTCGATCTTCCCTGTGTCTCCAGTACCTTCCCTCTCGTGGTTTTCTCTACAGAAAATACACCAATTTTCCTTCAGGTGCTGCTCACTCCTTTCTGTCCCTGGACTTTTCGGGGACCCTCTGGGGTGATCTTCTGTCAACCAACCTATCTCCCTTCATCCGGTTAAATCCCTCAGAGTGTGGTTTAAGACGCTTCCTCAAAGAAGCCTTCCCTGATTGCTGGGCCTGGGGCCCACCGTGGAAGTCGGTGGTACAGCACTTAGCACAGCTCAGAGAGGGCACGCTCGTGCAGCTAGTATCGTTAGCGGCCGCTTCCTGGACAGAATGCTGGCTCTTATGGGTACGGGCAGGATTTGTCTTATTTCCCTCGGTATCAACAGGACAGTGCCTTGCACACAGAAGACATTCAATCACTATGTGTTTCGAGAATGACAACCTAGGAGTTGACAGGCTTTGACAAGAGCTGAAGAGAGAGAAACAGAAACCAGAAGAACTGGTGGAAGAAGAGGAGCCCAGAGTGCTGTGGCTCAACCTGTGAGAACAGCACTTCCTCAAGTCCTTTCTCCTGTGGACTTAAAGGCGTCTGCAGAGGGAGGAAAGGCACTTACCAATCTCCCACGTGATCTTCTCCACTTCTTGTCTGTGCTTTAGATACATGGGCCACACGTGGCCATCAAAGTACCCTGGGGTGTCTGGAGGCTCGTAGACTCGCGTACTATCGAAACACATAGGAAACGTTACACCGACGGAAACACACAACTGATAAAGTAAACTAACGATGGTCAGGAGGATGGGAAAACCACTGAGACTTCAACTAAACAGGATTACGAGCATACATACATTTTAGATTCAGTGCTACTTACAAAGACAATAAAACGGATTTAGTTTTCGGGTTCAAAAAATAATTTTTGTAATTCACGATCATTCATAATTATTTCCTTTTTTTTTTTTTTTTTTTTATTTCTAGGAGAGAGAGAGACAGCGTGAGCAGGGGAGGGTCAGAGAGAGAGGGAGTCACAGACTCTGAAAAGGCTCCAGGGTCTGAGCCGGCAGTCAGCACAGAGCCCGACGCGGGGCTCGAACCCACGAACTGCGAGATCATGACCTAAGCGAAAGTTGGACGCCTAACCAACTAAGCCACCCAGGAGCCCCCATTCATAATTATTTCTGCATGCTTTATAAAAAAAATTGAGACAAACATCAATGTAAATGATGATCGAGAAACTGATATGTTGGATTAAATTTTCAACTAATTGGTGCCCTTTGTGGCTATAGAAGAATAATGGCTTGTGAATTTAAAATCATAATCAACGTGGGATTGGTTCATTTGAGGATTTAAGAGGGAGGAGTCAAATGGTTCGCAGAAGGGCCTTTTCTTAGAAAAGTAATTGGCAGGGCGCCTGGGTGGCTCAGTCAGTTAAGCGTCTGACTCTTGATTTCAGCTCAGGTCATGATCCCAGGGTTGCAATCGGGGGATTGAATTCTCACGGGACTCTGCACTGACAACTCGAAGCCTGCTTGGGATTCTCTCTCTCTCTGCTCCTCCCCTGCTCATGCCCTGTGTCTCAATAAGCAAACAAACATATAAATGTTAAAAAAAAAAGATAGAAAAATAATTTGCATAACTCCATGTGGATGAGCATTTATGCTAAAAGGTTTTGTTCATTATGTAGAAGAGATGAGGCTTGAGTTGTTTGAAAAATGACATATACACATTGCTCAATAATGTTCTTTCCTGGTTTCTCCTAAAATTTTCTTTTCAAAAATTTTTTTACTTAAAAGTTTTTATTTTTTGTTGAAGTACAGTTGACACAGGCTACATTAGTTTCAGGTGTACAACACAGGGATTCAGCGTGTCTATCTGTGATTTATGGTCACTGTGACTTAGCTACCATCTGTCATCTCACAATCTCTTGTAAGTACAACCAACTCTATTTCCTATGCTGTACTTTTCATCCCCATGTATATTTTGTCCTTTGAATTCCAATCCACCATGGTGATGTCAAAACTCACCTTCTCGGGGCACCTGGGTGGCTCAGTCAGTTAAGCATCTGACTTCAGCTCAGGTCATGATCTCACAGTTTGTGAGTTCAAGCCCTGCATCGGGCTCTGCACTGACAGCTCAGAGCCTGAAGCCTGCTTTGGATTCTGTGTCTCCCTCTCTCTCTGCCCTTCCCCTACTTGTGCTCTCTCCTTCTCTCTCAAAAATAAATAAACATTAAAAAAAAATCAACAACTCACCTCCTTCTCCTCTTACATTCTTCATATGGAATGGTCAGAAAGTAGCTTCTGTTCCATAGTGTGTCGAGGGGCCTAAAATAAAAGCATATTTAGTTCACAAGCCTCCCTCCCCCAATTCATGGAAGGTCAATACAAGGCTGAGGATGCTTACTTATAATTAAAGAGAAGGAAGCCTTCAATGATTAATATGGGCATCTCCTCGGCACTTCCAGAGTCTGTTGATACCATTGAGTGTCTTGGCCTTCCCATCCAGCAGGAAATGGTGGACATCATTGTTTCCATGTTGAGCGCTTCAAGCACTTCAAATAAATGTACAAAGATACATGAAACCAATACAACAGAAGTTTTATGATGTGGATTTTTATGATGAGTATGTCCAGGGCGCTATAAATACATAAAATAATGCTATTTTATTTACCTTTCAAAATAACTAATATTTTAGACAAATTTAAACTCTATTATTGACAAATTGATATGTTTGAAACATTAAATTTTTAATATTTATTTTTGACAGAGAGAGAAAGAGAATAAGTGTGGGGGGGGGCAGAGAGCAAGGGAGACAGAATCCGAAGCAGGCTCTAGGCTCTGAGCTGTCAGCACAGAGCTGAACGTGGGGCTGGAAACCCATAAACCGTGAGATCATGACCTGAGCCAAAGTCGGATGCTCAACCAACAGAGCCACCCTGGCACTCTGAAACATTTTTAGTATGTGAAATTTCAAATATATACAAAAGTAGAGTACAATGAATTCTCATGTCCCCATTACCAGCTTTGACAATTATAAACTCATGGCTAATCTTGCTTTATTTATTCATTTATTTTTTTAATGTTTTACTTATTTCTGAGAGAGAGAGAGAGAGAGACAGCGTGAGCAGGGGAGGGTCAAAGAGAGAGGGAGACACAGAAACTGAAGCAGGCTCCAGGCTCTGAGCTGTCAGCACAGAGCCTGGCGCAGGGCTCGAACTCAGGAATGTGAGATCATGACCTGAGCTGAAGTCGGACGCTCAACTGACTGAGCCACCCAGGCTCCCCTAATCTTACTTTATTTATAATGCCTATTCCCCCATGACTACATAAAAGTTTAACATTTTTGATAACAAAATATCTATAAATTAGACTGAAAGATAATATGACATGCTGGGGAGGATATCTACAATGTATTTCACAACATTTTTAATGTATCTCTTACAGGTAAGTAAGAGAAACATCAATAAAAATTTTATAAAGGACATGTCCTTTACAAGCTCTAAAATGTATATGCTTTTTGAGCTTACAATTATAATTCTGGAAAAGTACAATGCTGATTCTCAAAGTATAGTATGCGACCAATAGCATTGGTATCACCTGGGAATCTGCCAGAATTGCAATTTCTGAGCCTACTCTAGAACTACTGAATTGAGCCACCTGGACTTTGGTTTTTAGTGGAAGGTTTTAAAATTATGGATTAACTTATTTGATAGACATAGGACTATTAGGGGTTTCTCTTTGTTCTGTTGTTAACCTTAGTAACTTGCATTTTCCTAGGAAACTGTTAATTTCACGAAGATTTATTTATTTATTTATTTATATCTAGGAGAGAGAGAGAGAGAGAGAGAGAGACAGCATGAGCAGGGGAGGGTCAGAGAGAGAGGGAGTCACAGACTGAAACAGGCTCCAGGCTCTGAGCTGGCAGTCAGCACAGAGCCCGACGCGGGGCTCGAACCCGCGAACTGCAAGATCATGACCTAAGTGAAAGTTGGACGCTTAACCGACTGAGCCACCCAGGAGACCCAATTTCACTAAGATTTTCTAATTTAGTTGCACAGAGTGTTCATAATATGCTCACATCTTTTTAATGTCTATAGGCTCTGTAGTGATATTACCTTTTATGCTTTTGATATTTATACGTTCTCTTTTCTTCTTGGTCAGTATTGTCTAATCTGCTTGGGGATCAGATTCTTGAATTTGTAGGTTTGTCTTATGCCAAATTTGTCATGTTTTACAGACTTATTTTTTAGCACCACACTTTTTCTCCTTTCCTTCTGAGACTCCAATGATATGTTAGAGCATTTATTATTGGCCCATATTTCGGTTAATTTCTTTGCAGTCCATTTTCTCTCTACTGTTCAGGTAAGAGTAATTTCTGCTGTTCTGTCCTTAAATTCAGATTCTTTCCTCTGTCATATTTATTCTGCTATTGAGCCCACCTGGTGAGTTTCAAATTTTCAGTTTACTGTATGTTGTCAATTTAACAATTTCTATATGATTTTTACATCTTCTATTTCTTTACTAAGGCTTTCACATTTCTCACTTGATTCAAGAATGTTCACAATTGCTAGCTGAAGCGTTTTTATGAATGCTGCTCTAAAATCTTTATTAGATCATTCCAGCATCTGTGTTATCACGGAGTGGACGTCTGTTGATTCCTTTCTCATTCAGGTTGATAGCTGCCTGTTTCTTGATACGACAAGTGAATTTCAGACCCATCCTGGAAGGTTAGGGTATTATGTTGTGAGGCTCTGGATCCTATTTAATTTTTTTTAATAGGCAGTTACCCTGTTTAGCTGTGGTACACAGGTCCAGGTGGGGGTGGGTGGCCATCTCCCTGCTAAACCTCACCAACACAGAGGGGGGGGCGGCTGCGAGGGGAGACGCTGATGTAGAAGTTCAGCTCTCAGCTGTGTCCTGCTGACCCTAGCTGACGCTCCCTGGGTGAGGAAAGTGGAGTGTCAACTAGCGCCACCTCACGCTGCCTCATCCTGTCTCTGCTGTAGGCTGTGGAAATTCAGTTCTCTGTCTGGCTCCAGTGATAGGACCCCTGTGGGGTCCTTGCCTTCTGGTGCCCAACGGGTCCAGAAGTCTTGCTCGCTCACCACGGGGCCCTGCTGACACCATGAAGGGAGGAGGGATTTTCCTTCCGTGTTTAGCTACAATAGTGTGAATATTATCAAAACGATATTCAATTTGGGTAGGCCCCCCATTTCCTGGCTCTTTGACTAAAGGGAACACGTTTCTTGGGGCTTTTTTTTGTCCGTGCCTATTGATGATTCCATGTTGCACACCCTTCCAGCACCCTTTCCTGGATATAGGATGAGGAAAAAGAAAACCCACAGAATCTGTCATGTCTTTTCTCAAGTCCTAAAGGCCCTCACCAGTCTGCTCCCTTCTTTCATCTTCCAGAGTCTTCCTTTGTGGTGTTCCAGGGTTTTCAATTATATGAGAGAGGAAGAGCAAAAAATGGGTCCAATCCATCGTAGCTAGAACCAGAAATACCATTAGTTTTAATATATTTTCACTACCATTCAGTTGAAAGGATCTAATTTTCACTGCGATTTGTTCTTTGGCCCATGGGATATACAGAAGTGCTTTGCTTCAGATGAAATGTGATGACATCTGGAATTTACTTCAAAAAATATAGGAGAAGGTAAGGGTACAGATGAAACATAAATTGGTCAAGAGTGCATCATTTTAGAAGTTGGATGATGAATGCTTGAGAGCTCATTATACTTTTCTGCCTACTTTTCCATATGTTTAAATTTTTCCAGGAAGAAAGGATACTGATTAATTTCTGAACACTTGGGGGTTTTCTACTTACTCTGTTGTTACTGATTTCTAATTCAGTTCTCTGTGATTAGAAGATACCCCTATACTACTTCAATCTACTGAAATGTGCTGGGACTTGCTCTGTGCCCTTGCATATGCCTTCTATTTTAGTTAACGTGCCCTTTATTCTTAAGAAAACCAAAATGTGTATTCTTCTGTGATTGGCTACAAGTTCCGTACATGCTAGTTCAGTTAAGTTTGTTAACTGTGTGCTTCAAATCTGTTATACCCTTATAATTTTTGTCTGCTTTTTCCATTAGGTACTGAAGAAGTTGTATTAAAAATCTCCCACAACTGCGTGGTGCATGAGTGGCTCAGTTGGTTAAGTGTCCGACTTTGCCTCAGGTCATGATCTCAAGGTTCATGAGTTTAAGCCCTGAGCTACAGCTCAGAGCCTGGAGCCTGCTTCAGATTCTGTGTCTCCCTCTCTCTCTGCCCCTTCCCCACTCATATTGTCTCTCTCTCTCTCTCAAAATTAAATAAACTTTAAAAAGAATTTTTTTAACTTTCCCACGATAGTTATAGATTTATATATTCCCTATTTAGTTTTGTCAGTTTTTGCTTAATATATTTTGAAGTTATGTTATTAGGTGCTTAGAAATTTTAGATTGTTTATCTTTCTGCTGATTATCTTTCTCATTTATTTCTATTTGTCTTTAGTAATATATCAGTAATAGTATCTCTAGTGATACTCTTTGTGTTTACTTTGTCTGGAATTAGTAGTTACACTGGATTTCTTTCAGTAGGCGTTAATTGCTCACATGGCATTATCTTCTTCTAGCCTTGTCTACTTTTCTTTGTCCTGATATCTAAATATGTCTTGTAAAAGGCTTTCTTTCTTTCTTTCTTTCTTTCTTTCTTTCTTTCTTTCTTTCTTTCTTTCAATCTACTCTGACAATCTTGAGAGTATTTTAGTTCAATTAATTTAATGTAGCTGCCAATATATTTGGCTTAAATCTGTCATCTTACTCTCATTTTCTACCTTTCCATATCCTTTGATTTTTTTAAGTTGTTTTTTACCTCTTCTGATTTATTTTGCATGTAAACCAACTACATTTTAATGATCCCATTTATTTACAAATTTGATAGCTTTGATGATTATCATAGAGATTTGAACAGCAAATTTACTTTAAATGTGTATATTTGCCTAAAAATTTCAGAATTTTCCTTAAGAGAGACTCCTGGAAGTGGGTCACTTGACATATAGCATGAACATATTAAGATCTTTGGGACATGTATTCAATATCCCTTCCCTTCCAGAAAGGTTATATTAACTGATATTTCCATTTATGAGAGTTTATGTTTTGTTGAGCATGTGCCATCATTAGATAATTATTTCTTTACAAATCTATTTACTAGGGGTGCTGGGTAGCTCAGTCGGTTAAGCACCTGACTCTTGGTTTTGGCTCAGGTCATGATCTCATGGTTTGTGATATTGAGCCTCAAGACGGGCTCTGTGCTGAGAGCATGGAGCCTGCTTGGGATTCTCTCTTTCCCTCCCTCTCTGTCCCTCCCCTGCTCATGTGCGCGTATGTGTACGCATGCTCCTTCTCTAAGTAAATATATAAACACTGAAAAAACAAAAATCTGCTTAACAAGGGAAGTGGGAAAAAATAATTTACAACTCTTTGACTACTTCTGAGGTTGACTTTTTATTGTTTATTAATCAAATAACCTTTTGCTTCTACGATAGCTTATTTATACCCTTGGACATTTTTCAATTGGGATATTAGTGTTTTTCTTATCAGTTTATAAGAACTCATTTGAATAAGGAATAATTTGTTGTCAATTGTTGAAAACGGCTTTTCCTTCTTTAACCTTTACTTCATAATAATCTTCCTTACTAACCTTTAGAGGAGGGGAAGAGATGAAAAGCATATCCTGGCTGCAGTTCAAGACACAAGAACAGGCAGGGAGTCAAGGATTTTGCTTCTCTTAAAACTATCATGTGTCTCTAAGAACTGATTACACAACATTCTCCCTCTAAGGTCGTCAAAGTTAAAAATAAAGAACGTGGTTTACGGCTCTTTAAGAGAGCTGTTTCTGCTGCCAGTTTGCACAAGCACTCCGTGATCAGCTTCTTAATTCTCAACGCTGATTAGAGCATTAAGTATAGTTTATTGCCATGAGATTCTCTATAGGAAAATAAATATTTTCTGATGGACTTTATAATCCTTTGGCTTCAAAGCAGGTTCAGCTAGGGCAAGGGAGTGAGGCGAACCCATCTAAAAAATATTCCCTAGCCTTTACGAGCAGTGGAGAGAAAAAACCAGCTGTCCGGTGCACCTTGGTCACTGGGTGGGGGGGGGGGGGGTAGTCCACAGAATGAGTTTAGAGTCTGTTCCAGGCAAAATTGCAGGGAGGGGGTGAGGGGAGTAGGGCTCTGGGTGCCCCCAGCAGGGAGGAGTAGAATTCAAGCAAACATACCTTGCTCTAGCTTTGGAAGAAAAAAATCTATTGTCCCCATGTTTTCAGTTTTAAATATAAAACTGGGGAAAGGGCTTCTCTTATTTAATAGTTGGACGTAAATCAGAAACCTTTACAAAACCATGTGCAGAGTACAGCAGTGTGCTGGGCACGTTTCGAGACTGTCTTCACGGACAGAGAAGGGCTGAAAAAGAAAACGAACAGTCGTGCATGTTTCACAGGCTCATCGACTTACCGTCATACTGCAGAAAACCATTGGCGTCTGTCTCTATCTCAGACTCCGGCTGAAAAAATAACGCAGCACCCATCAAAACGGTGTGGTGTAGAAATAATACAATTACAGAATGAAGAGGCGACTAACTTAATAAACGTTTTGAATGAGGAGGACAGATAAAATCAGAGCCGCGACACTAAGTAATGCCACCTGGTGGACCAGTGTCATTACTGCATGGAGCCTACCTTCGCTACAAAAGCTGTATCATTGCAGCAAAGGCTTTTGGGGGGTAATTTAATCAACCTGCTGACAGGATTTTGTTGTATTAAGTGAATTACCCGAGACGTGTTAGATACCTTAAAGAAATCATCCTGAGATATGATACTGCAGTTTGGGAGGCGTTTCTGCAAATTCTTAGCCAGTGTTGTCTTTCCACCATTTGTCACACTGAACAAGGAAAAGGAAAGGAAAAAAATAAATAAAAACATACCAAGAAGGAAGATGCATTTAATATAAACTATTTTAAAGTGATCTTAGAAAAAGGATATTTAAAACAATATGTACGGGGTGCCTGGCTGGCTCAGTCATAAGAGCACGTGACTCTTGATACTGGGGTCATGAGTTCGAGACCCATGTTGGATAGAGATTACTTAATAAATAATTTTAAAAAAATAAATAAGATGAAATAAAACAGTATGCAGTATCTAAGAAGAAATTATTGGGGCACCTGAGTGGCTCAGTTGATTGGGCGTCAGACTTCAGCTCAGGTCACCATCTCGTGGTCCACGAGTTTGAGCCCCGTGTCGGGCTCAGTGCTGACAGCTCAGAGCCTGGAGCCTGCTTCGGATTCTGTGTCTCCCTCTCTCTGCCCTTCCCCCACTCACACTCTGTCTCTCTCTCTCTCTCTCAAAAATAAACAAACATAAATAAGAAATTTCTTGGGGCGCCTGGGTGGCTTAGTCGGTTAAGCGTCCGACTTTCGCTTAGGTCATGATCTCGCGGTTCGTGGGTTCGGGCCCCGCGTCGGGCTCTGTGCTGACTGCCAGCTCAGAGCCTGGAGCCTGTTTCAGTCTGTGACTCCCTCTCTCTCTCACCCTCCCCTGCTCACGCTGTCTCTCTCTCTCCTAGAAATAAATAAAACATTAAAAAAAAAAATTTAAAAAAAAAAAAGAAATTTCTTTCATAGATACGTTGGCAAAACCATAGACCTAAGTAGATCTACTTAAATGATCTTAAATGATCTACTATAAATGGTAAGAAACATACTGGAAAGGATGGAGGAGAAAGGGAACTAAGTACTGGGCATGTGAACTGGGTAATATTAAGACTTAAAAATACAACTACTGGGTGGGTAGCAAACGAATGCTCTGCTTATACTGAAGCGCTCACGGGGCTCATACGCAAAGCACAGAGAACACAAGTAGCACATCTTAGCGCAAGTGTGTAAAAGTGCAGGCGGTCACTGAGACGCTGTGTCCGTGCATCGTGGAGAAAAATGGAGGACTGGCTTAGGACAAGCATACCCCACGCCCTCACATCATCTCTGCCGTGCTGCCTCCTTTTCTCCTTAATCACTGTCCACTCTGGGGCTAGATGTGGGGCCCGCTGAGTCCTCTCACAGGCGGTCAGCAAGGCTGGACTGCGCCATCTGGGGCAACGGGAACCTCGACTAACTGCTCTGTGCATCTATTTTTCCAGCATCTAACACCACACACGTCTCTAGTCATTCAGTCAGACCTTTTTTTGACCTGGGGCTGATGCATGCAAGGGTCTGTGGACAGATTCACGGGCTTTGTGAACTTGAACGGGAAAGAAATTACATCTCTATTTTTACTGTATTTTAACAAAATTTTAGCCTTTCCTTTCATTATAAATATAAGTAACAAACATCAATAGTATTTACAGTACCTGTGACTTTGTCACCAATACAAATCATAGATATTTTCATATTATGGTATAGATGGGACAGTCAGTATCCTGAAGCATCATCGACACTCAGTATCATTTCCAATTTATGGCAGGTTTCATCTTATTTATTTTTTAAATTATTTATTAAGTAATCTCTATCCAACATGGGTCTTGAAGTCATGACCCCAGCATCAAGAGTCACGTGTTCTTACTACTGAGCCAGCCAGGCACCCCGTACGTATCGTTTTAAATATCCTATTTCTAAGATCACTTTAAAATAGTTTATAGATAACTGGATACTGTTACCTAATAAGTTAACAAAGAAATGTACGTATCACGATGCTACAATTAGGTTTTGAAAATATTTTTAAAACTCTATTTCAATATACCTGGTTTTTCCTTTGTATTCCTGTATTTTACTTTGTGCCCTTAAAACCATTACTGTAGGTGCGCCTGGGTGGCTCAGTCGGTGGAGCGTCTGGACTCTTGATACGGGCTCAGGTCATGATCCCAGGGTCGTGAGACAGAGCCCTGCATCGGCGCCACACTGAGCGTGTAAGCCTGCTTAAGACTCTTTCCCTCTCCCCCCTCCCCTGCTGGTATTCTCTCTCTAAAAACAAAAACAAAACAACAAACAAAACATAACATTACTCTAGGCAGCTCTTTCTGTTCATGGGTCTTGTCCTGTGCCAGAGTAAAGCCATCTTTTTTCTCCGAAAACAAACAAAAATGCATTATTCTAAGTCAAGACTTCATCGTACCACAAAATGTCCATAGTACAAAAAACTCTTTTGTCTTTTAATTGTTTATTTATTTTTGAGAGAGAGAGAGAGAAAGAAAGAGAGAGGGGGAGGGAGGGAGGGAGAAAGCATGTGTGCACATGCTCAAGTGAGGGAGGGACAGAGAGAGGGGAACAGAGGATCCGAAGCAGGTTCTGTGCTGTCAGCGGGACTGAACTCACGAACCTGAGGTCAGGACTGAGGCAAAGTATGATGCTTAACTGACTGAGCCACCCAGGCACTCTGATGGTACAAAAACTCTTAACTGCACATTTATTTGCAAGAACCTGTGCTTAATCCCAGATGAGAAATTACAATATGTTTCTAATCTAGAAAAGAAACTAATATTAATTCACCAAAACTGTTTATTGGCCAGAATTCAATTATCACCCAAACAACGTATACCTACAAAGTACAAGAAATAGGATTCAAAAGTTTTTCCAACTGACCTTAGAATACACAATTCGGTAGGATGATCTCCTTGAAAAGACAGGAAAGTGGGTGGGTGTTACCTTTTGCTTTGAGAAAATACTGGTATAAATTTTCTTCCCTCTTAACAAAAATGTCTGTAACCCACATTGAGTTTCCATAGTTCAGATTCTGAACCTTGGTTTAAACCAGACAGCAAACAGGGGTAGCTTTATTATACTATAAGCAACCTGGTTAGGAAATGTGTCATTTTCTAGACTTCTCTCTCTCAGATGATACAGTCAAACCACCAGTAATTAGATCCCTTCGCACTGGCTTAGCTGGAGACAATGGAAAACAAGGGCTCCAGTTTTGTAGACCCAGAGGAGGCGGACCAGACAGAAGGTAGCCCAGGTCGGAGAGATGGGAAAGGGGATTTAAGAAGAATTGGACAAGCCTAAGATCTCTACGTGACTCCTGCTCAGGTGACCGCCTATGACTAACTCGTCCCTTCCAGCACGCTCATAACCACCGGGCACCAAGCTCACAACCACCTCACGTGCATTCCAGCCTCAGGGCAAGAGTGTCCTGACAGGTGCACGCTGTATCCTAGGATTCGGAGAAGGAAAATGACTAACGACTTGGAGCCAATTCCACCTTTGTTCCTAATACCCAAATAAATGCACAAGTCTGGTCCCTTTATCTCTTAGGGAGCCAGGAGACAAGAGGTGATAAATGTATTTGGAATGTAACAGAGGGCTAAGGAGGCGTTAAAAAGGCTATCTGCAGACTCTTCAACAAGAGGAAATCCATTCTGTAGCAGGTAGATAATCATATTCCCATTTTACAGATGAGGAAACTAAGGACTGAATGACTGGATGCTCATAAAGCTTGCCCAAGGTAACAGCTAGCACGTAATAGCATACAAAGTTGAACCCCAAAGCCCACGGAGTTATATTTTTTAACATCACAGAATTCTTTGAAAATCTGGTAAAGGTTATATACCCCTTCCCCGGAAAAGTGAACATTGTCACACATGCATTAAAATTTTCAGGAGGATCTTGATTGACCCTGAAGTCTTTGGAATCCCCACGATTCCTGGACGTCTTAACTTGATGATTACGTCACAGGGAAGCAAGTGGTAAGAAAGGTCCAACACCGAGTCTGGAGGAAGGAAGAGGCAGGAGCAGAGGTCACTGCAGCCGAGCCCGGCAGGTGCTCCGCGGAAGCAGCACTAAAATGAAATCTTCACGCTTGCTGAGGAAGACACGGTAAAGGGGAGGCTTTCCGGGAGGGGGTTGGGGGGGGGGAGGCGGGCAGCACCCAACGCACGTGGCAAGAAAGCACGAGGCAGATACTGAGAAGGGAACTGTATTCCCACATGTGCAGAACGAAACTGACTGATGCTAGAGCAGCAGAGCAGGCAGCCTCCCCGGGCTCCGCCCCTGTTTCTGAAGCCTGGTTTGGACTGACCCCACTCTCAACTCCAGGGCAGGGCGCCTCTGGCCTCAACTAATCACGGCAGGCCCATCCCTGTTGTCGCAGTGACTGTGTGTATGTGGCACAGCGGGTCTGGTCAAAGGGAAAACCGTGACTTAGGGGAAGAGAGGCAGGCTAAGGAGAATAAAGTCCCAGGACATGCCGGTATCCCCCTTGTGACCAAAACGCGGAGTCGACTCTAGGATGAATCCAGATGGAGGAAGACACAGAGACGGAAAGAGCCAGAGGCTGGGGGTACCACCGAGCTCCTGTCCCAAACCCTTCCTACAGCCCACCTGCCCCGGAAGCGAAGGCATTTCTTTTATTACAACGGACGGTCTTCAAACACCAGGATGCTCAGATTTCATTCTAGGTGACTGGTAGCCACTGAATATTGTTCGCTAAGTGAGAGAATAAGTAAAAGATTTTTGGCAAGAAGATTCAACTGGTAGAGAGGTAGGGAGGAAAGGTTAAGAGCGGGGGACTGGAACAGAAAACATTTTGAAAAAATTAAAAATTAAAAGGGGCACCTGGGCGGCTCAGTCAGTTAAGTGTCCGACTTCGGCTCAGGTCATCATCTCACAGTTGTGGGTTCGAGCCCCGCGTTGGGTTCTGTGCTGACAGCGAGCTCAGAGCCTGGAGGCTGCTTCAGATTCTGTGTGTGTCTCTCTCTCTGACCCTCCCCTGCTCATGCTGTCTCTTTCTCTCTCAGAAATAAATAAAACATTTTAAAAAATTTAAAGAGCGGGGAACTGGAATGAGGGGAGGGGGCCTGAAGTAGGATGGTCACAGTGAGCGCAGGAGGGAAGGCACTGACACGAGAAGCCACGCAGAGAACAAGCAGAACTCTGGTTCTGGTTAGATGGGACCAAGACGATGCAGACTTCTCCCATTGGATTTATTCCCTTTGTTTTTGTGGGGTTTTTTCTTTTAACATTTATTGAGGAGTGCCTGGGTGGCTTAGTCGGTTAAGCGTCCGACTTTCGCTTAGGTCATGATCTCGCGGTTCGTGGGTTCGAGCCCCGCGTCGGGCTCTGTGCTGACTGCCAGCTCGGAGCCTGGAGCCTGTTTCAGTCTGTGACTCCCTCTCTCTCTGACCCTCCCCTGCTCACGCTGTCTCTCTCTCTCTCCTAGAAATAAAAAAACAAAAAAACAAAAAACATTTATTGAGAAAGAAAGAGAGACAGAGCATGAACAGGGGACGGGCAGAGGGAAATGGAGAAGACACAGAATACGAAGCAGTCTCCAGGCTCTGAGCTGTCAGCACAGAGCCCAATGCAGGGCTCAAACCCATGAGTGGTGAGATCATGCCTTGAGCCGAAGTCAGACGCTCAACCGACTGAGCCACCAAGGCGCCCCTGGATTCATTCCCTTTGACGTCTGGTTACTCACTACGCTAATGTAATACAATAACAGTCTCAAGTATTTCATTAATTGGGCCACACATAATGTGAACGCACCCAGAAGAAAGATGAACATAAAAGAGTAGCAAAACAAATAATGCCCGTTGGTGTCTTATTTGCATGCACACTTCTGGTACCAGAGAGATAGGGCGATCATATAATTTAGGACACTTTGGAGACGGAGTGGGGCACACAGCTAATAATGATGCCAGGGCAATAAGGACCTAAGGAGAGAAGGATAAAAAGCATCTGGTGTTAACTCTAGAAAAGAAATGGTAAAACAGGCAGATTTTGATTATTGATTCTTCTCTGTTTGTAGAAGACTCTGCCATTTCCCGCTGCCATTTATAAAACAGCCAGTGGCCTGTTCCTTTCTTCAGGACTCAGGAATCCTGACTCCTCCTTCCCTCACCACTTCCACAGAAAAACACCCTTTAGACAGCATGAGTATCTCCACCAGCTGTTTGTAGCAAAATTACTCACCCACTGATTCCAACAACAAATGGTTTCATCATTAACTTTGAAAATCACGTCTTCATAAATTTTCCTAAAAAAAAAAAAAAACGAATGCATATCACTTAGATGTCTCAAGAAATAAGGGTCCCGAGGCACCTGGGTGGCTCAGTTGGCTAAGTGTCCGATTTTGGCTAAGGTCACGATCTTGCAGTTCATGGGTTCGAACCACATGTGGGGCTCTGTGCTGACAGCTCAGAGCCTGGACTCTGCTTCAGATTCTGTGTCTCCCTCTCTCTCTGCCCCTCCCCTGCTCACACTCTGTCTTTTTATCTGAAAAATAAAGAAACATTAAAAAAATAATAAAGAAATAAGAGTCCTAAATTAGGAAAGCCAGCCGAGGGGGAAGGATGATCATGATCTCTGGGTAACCCCACCCCTGGATTACCCACATCCAGCAGAAGAGATTCACACCGTACCAGCTTCTCTCTGCCACACAGCTGCTGTTAAATGCAACAGCTGGCGTGTGCGCTCAAGGCTTATAGGCCCGAGTCTCAGATTCACACATTACAGAGTTTCATTACTCTAAAACTTAGTTTCAAGATTCAATCGTCTGGAGATTAGGATGGCAGGAACCCACAGAGCTGGCCTCTCACCCCTCCCGAAATGGGGAAAATGTCACTGCTGGCCAGAGGCAAAAGGAAGTGAATTCCCATTAAGGATACCATTTCCTCACCCAAAAGTCAAGTCCAGGGTCAGGGTAGACAAACTTTTTCAGAAAAGGGCCAGGTAGTAACTATTTGAGCCTTTGTGAGGCAAGAGGCAAACTCAAAGTCATCACGAAGGTACTTCTACAACAGGTTTGCAGAACTTTTGACGAAAGTCAAAACATAGGAATGGAGTACATTTTTGTTGTTCTTGCTGTAATACACGTCTACTAAGGAGAAGAATGGAATTCCTTTCTTATTGGGATAACATCTCTCTTACTGGATTTCAAAGTTAGCATTCTTAATCAGAAAACTGACTGCAAAGGTTCAGGCGTAGGGCCAGGTTTTAGCCACAGGCCATTGTCTGTTGACCAGGGTCTAGTGGGTGGAGGGCAGTTTCATACAAGGCCCCCTAAGGTTCAGGAAAGCAGTCCGGTGGCTATTCTAATGGGCCATTTTTACCTCTTTATGTGAAAAGGAGGCTCAGCTGGAGGGAACCTCAGAATAGTGGTTCCTGATGGATGTCTGAACTAATGCTGCTCTTTATTCTGGACTGGCCTGGTTGGGTGATCAGGGAACCAAGCTGGGCCACTGGGGTGAGTGGCCTAGGAGCCGGGCCCCCCAGAAGCCCTCCAGTTCCCATCCCTGACCTGTGTCCAAGGAGAGTTGATTTCTTTCTTCTTTCCAAGCTGCTAAAAAAGCACTTTCTTACCAAGAGCAAAGAAGGGATGCCCCACGTGTGCCGGCTTCATTGTGAGGCTCTCGTGTATAACAGATGTCATTGTTATTGATGTTTTATTAATGGCTGTGCACACTTCAGCAAGGACTCCTGGCCCCCCTGCTTCATGCCACATCTGTGCACACACATGTGAGGATACTGGATCAATTACACAGCGTGCAAAGAACACGTGAGTGTGGTTGTGGCACTGGAAAGACACTGGGTGGGGGGGGGACGATTTGGGTGGAAACTAGCAATTCAGAAATAAGGAGAGTCAAGAACCCACTTCTAAAATTGCTTGGGCGCAGGAGGGGATGCCCAGAGTCAAATGCAAGTTTTTATCAAAACAGGAGCCCTGAATTCTGTATTAGTTAGCAGTGCCAGCCTGCCCAAGACAGTGTTTGGGTAAATGTTGGCCACAATCTAGCAGCACCGATCACGTAACCCTGGGGTGGGAGGGGTGGGGAACTGGGGGAAGCCCAAGCAAGACAGGTGCAAGACCCTAGAATTCATTTATTTCAAAAACCACATTGGCTACACAGGGCCGCACCAAGGTGAACTCCAAGTTCAGGACTGGAATTGTCAACCTCCACACTTTGTGTTATCATACCGCCTGTTGCCCGCTTTGAGAACTACTTTAAAATCACCCTTAAAAGCCTGCAATCCAGCGTTGCCAGACTCCAAATACACATAGCAGACTCCATGAGGCAAACACAAGCTGGGTCAACGACAAACTAAATCGCTGGATGCCCCTATCTGATCTGTGGCGTCTGATTCCTTGGAATACACACCCCTCTATCTCGTGGGCTATTTATGTACTTTCTTCTCCCAGTCAGTGCAAAGCTTTCCTCAACAGCAGAGTCATTTACATAGGTGGAGGATAAGAAACTAAAATAGCCCGGAGAAAACCCAAAATGAGTATTTTAACTTCTTCTTATACTTTTTTCTACTCTAGGTAAGACAGGCTGTTGAGTCCTTTTATCATTACTCGTCGGTGTTTATTCTGTGTATTCGATTACTAACCAAGGTACGTTTTGGACTCTAAACTGCAAAGCGGTCAGAGGTGGTAAGTATACAAATCAGATTAGAAGGAAGAGAGCAACTCTCTAACACAAATGGATGACAACATGCTACCGAAATGTGCCTTTCAGGGCATCTAAAGGGCAGTCTGATGTTTTCAAACCCGCGAAATGTTTCAGGACTTCTGATTTATTTGTTTTGTTCACCAGGTATTTTGATTATCTTCTCCTGCATTACAGGGAAGCTGTTTCCCACTATTGTTTAACCTTTGCTCCCTTTTAGTAAACAGAATTCTCAACACTCAGCCCGTGTCCCTTTCTCTTGTAATCACTTTCAACTTTCACTAACCCCCAGCAGCAACTTTCAAGCTTCACCTTACATAGACCTTCCAATAGACTTTTTTCGTCCCTTAAAGATACAATTGATTTTATTCCATTGACTGTGCTATTTTGAACCGAACGCACACCTGTTATTTCTTGTGTGCTCCCGCCCTTGCCTCCCACTGGAGATTCAATCTGCTAGGTGAGGGGTCGGCAAACCTCTGTAAGTGCCAGGTAGTCAATGTTTTTGGCTTTTGGGGGCAGCAGCTCAGCCGTGCTGTGAAGAGCAAGCGGCCACCGGCAGTAGATAAGCCAAACGAGCCGTGGCTGTGTTCTAGCAAAACTTTAGGGACACCAAAATCTGAATTTCTTATAATTTTCACGTGCCACAAAATCTTCTTTTGCTTTTTTTCCAGCCACTTTCAAAATGGTAAAAATCATCCTCGGTTAGCAGGCCGTGCAATAATCGGTGGCAGGCGAGGCGGGGCCGGTCCACCCCATTACCCGTGGAATAGAGGGCTGTCTCCCCCCGTGGGGATCAACGGCTGAGCCTGTCGCCGGCGACTTGTCGTTACAACCCGTACGGGGCGTAAAGGCACCACGCCACCACGGACACGTCCTCGTCGGCAGGACATCCCGCAGCCCGTTTAGGACGGGGACAGTCCCAACGGGGCTTGCTAGACGCAGCCACACTTCCAGCACTGCAGGCCTCGCGGACGCCGCGCGGCGCTCCAGGCCGGGTCGCGCAGGGACTCACCGGCCGCCAGTTCGAGTCTTCCCCAGCAAAGCGGGCCAGGCGCCGGCCGGACGCGCGCCTGCCGCTGAGCCGCCGCAACCCCCGAAGCTCCCGGGCGGAGAGGCCCGCTGCCCCTCCCTCCGGGCGCGGACGCGGCCGGAGGCGGCCCAGGTAGCGGCGGCCGAGCGAGGGCTCCGTCCGGCGCGGGCGGGACGCGGCGCCGGCAGCAGCCCCGGCGGGGCGGGGCGGGGCGGGGCGGGGCGGGGCGGGACTCCGGCGCCCGCGGCCGCGCGCGCGCGTGCGTGCGCCCGCGCAAGGGCCGGCCCTTTCTCGTCGGGGGCGCGCGCGAGCCTGCGGCGCCCGCCCTCGGCTCAGGCCGGTTCCGCCGCCGCGCGCGCGCGCCGCCGTGCGCGCCGCCCGCGCTCCCGCCGCGCCGGAGCTGCCAGCCCCGGAGCCAATTAGCGCTCGGCGGCCGGACGGCGGCCACTTCCTCGTCGCCCGGCCGCGCGCTCGGGAGGCTCCGGCGGCCGCGGGGCGGGGCTCGGCGCCGAGCGGCTCTAACTGCGTTCGCCAGTCTGACGGCCCAGGGTGGGCGCAGGTCCTTGAGGGCGCACCGCTGCTCAGCAGACAAAAAGAAACTTTGGGGCCCCCGGAGTGCCGGCTGGCGGGGCGTTCGGTTGGCTTTTCGTGCTTGGTCTTGAGGCTCCGCCGCTCCAGGAAGCGCGATGTCGAAGCCGCCACCCAAACCGGTCAAACCAGGTAAGAAAGGTGTTCGCCGGGTGCCCTGGCCGCCGGGGTGCCCTGCGCTTCCTCTGCCACTTGGCAGGGACCCGGCCTGGAGCCTCGCCTTCAGAAGCCGAGCCACCCGGATGGGTCGCTTTGTTGCGTCCACTGCGGGGAGGGAAGCCTTTTGGACCGCAGGAGAATTTCCAGGATTTTTTTAAAAAAAATTTTTAATTTTTTTTTTTTTTTAAAGAGGAGTCGCCCTCGATTTTGCAACATTGTCATTCGCTGCAACTTTCTAGTGAGTGTGATGGCTGCGTCCCATGGAAGCTTCACTGGAAGACAAGGCTATTGCCCCTCTTAAAAAAATACATATATGTATATATGCCTTGACATGGTCTTTTAGCCACTTCCTCTTTTTTTTTTTTTCTTTCCGTGTGTGTCACTGTCAAGTTAGAGTTCTTGACCGGCCAGAGCAGAGCGAACGGGAAGTGCGCTGCTTGCAGGGTGGGGTGGGTTAGCGAGCGTCCTTTGGGACTTTACAGAGGAGCCCCGTTTGAAATTGACCCCGGGATCTCGGAGAAAGTGTTTAGAAAAACTCTGTACCCTGTCTCGTGGCGAGAAGAATCTAGGCTGCGGTAGAGTAATCTCGGCTGTTGCAGTTCGGGAGTGTCACTTGATCGTTCTGGACAAGTCCTTTGCCTCCACTCCCCCAGTGAATTTGCGGGGCTCAGCTGGAGAGGGCGAGATTCCTAAATTCCTCAAAGCAGTGCTCTCCGCCTACAGCCCCATTGCATTTTTGATTCTATTCTTAGAATATTTTCTGTGATATGGGGAAAGCAGAATGTGAAAGGGGCTGACGTATTTCAATTCAATACTGTAACAAACTCGTGCATTCATTTGGTGAGTAATTACGGAAACATAGGAAATAGAAGATAAATGGCCCTGATACATTCTCGGGTTTTTTTTCTTCCAGTCTCCTGTAACTTCAGTATAGCATGAGCTGAAATGTATGTATCCTTTCACATCAAATTTAGAAATAACCTTGACTGAGAATACTATACCTCTCAGGGTTATCTAGTTTTCTTTCTTTGCCCCCATACAGTGGAGTTTCAAGTCATTTTATTTGAAAATTATGTACACACTCATATCTGTGACAGCCATTCACCGAGGACTTAAATTTGTCTGGTGGGCAGGGTGTGAAGAAGTTGCTGGGACTTTGGCTTTGCTGTGAGCAAAAATGAGGTGTGGCTGGTGTTGCATTCTGTGTTTCTTCATAAGTGGAATCTGGTGAGGAGCTTGCATTTTAAGAGCACGTGTAGGAGGTAGCAGCTTTCTAAATTCAGATGTAAATCAGGACCTCAAGTATCCAACAAAGCAGAATTGTACTTCGGTAGCTCATAAAAGTACTTTATTTTAAAGAATGTCCTGAGAAGTTGTTCATGAGCATTTTCATCTCTCTAGACCTTTAAGTGATGCCCGGGCTGCAGCCAGAATGTGTGAGTGTGTGCATGAGTAGCGGGGCAACTCAGGTTTGACTGAAGGATCCACTGCTACCCTTGGGGATACATTCCCACAAACCAGTTTGTTGTCGGACCCTGCTGCTCTGTCCTCTTCAGCAAATCAGGAAGCCCGTGTATGACAGAGCTTTGACGCCACACTGATTTTTTAATAGGATCCAAAGTCAAGGTCACCATAGAAATCGGTTTGTTAGTTTGCTAATTTACAATGAGAAATGCTACTTTCAGTCAGACTTGAAACATTGCATGGCCTGGGGGCGCCTGGGTGGCCCAGTCGGTTGGGCGGCCGACTTCGGCTCAGGTCTTGATCTTGCGGGTCGTGGGTTCGAGCCCCGCATTGGGCTCTGTGCTGACCGCTCAGGGCCTGGAGCCTCTTTCGGATTCTGTGTCTCCCTCTCTCTCTGACCTTCCCCTTCTCACGCTGTCTCTCTCTCTCTCTCTCTCTCAGAAATAAAAACAAAAAAATAAAAACAAAAAGAACATGTTAAAAAAGTAAAAAAAAAACAACATTCCATGGCCTGGCTTCATCGAAAACAAAACTGCCCTGTTATAGGACCGTGTGCCAGGCGCTGATCTAATCACGTTACAAGTATTAACTCATTTACTTCTCACAACAACCCTGTTGGGTCAGTATCATTATTGTTCCCATTGCACAGGCGAGGAAATTAAGGCAAGGCACAGAGAGGTTAAATAACTTGCCCAAGGTCAGTAGCCGGGTAGAGCAGGGCAGGATTAGCACCCAGATCTGCCTGGCTTCAGAATCTTCGTTTCCTAGTCGTAATGCTATTCTGCCTTTAACATCACCGTGTTAAAGACCGTTCACCTGCACGGTCTTGCGTATGGTAGAGCTGGGGGTGGGGGCAGAAAGGAAAGTGCCTCTGGTCCCCAGTCAGATATTCTGATCACAGATGCCTATGAAAGTGACCCCCCTGGCTGACTGCATGTGAGGAGAGTGGTGTTGAGCTCTACTTTCTTGTCCCGTAGGCAAGATGCATGGGTGAAAAATGTCTGGAGCAGCTTGAAATTAGGGGTAAGGGGGTTGCATTTAAGTTTTGGCTTCTTGGTTTGTTTATACCCTGCCTCATCCCAAATGTTAAGGCAAGAAAGGACCATGTAGAGGGAGGGAAGAATAACAAGAAGAAACCAGAGGAAAAGTTAGCTTACAGACGTGCATGACGTAAGGTCCTCCAGGGTTTCTTTCTTTTCTTTTTTTTTACAAATAGTTTATTGTCAAACTAGTTTCCACATAACACCCAGTGCTCATCCCCACAAGTGCCCTCCTCCATGCCCATCCCCCCTCCCCCCCACATCCATCAGTCCTCAGTTTTTGTCAGCATTCAAGAGTCTCTCATGGTTTGCCTCTCTCCTTTTCCCCCACCATTTCCGCACTTCTTCTTCCCCTTGGTCCTCCGTCAAGTTCCTCCTAATCCTCCTATACGTGCAAACATATGGTATTTGTCCTTCTCTGCCTGACTTATTTCGCTCAGCATAACACCCTCAAGGTCCATCCATGTTGCTACACAAGGCCAGATTTCATTCTTTCTCATTGCCATGTAGTATTCCATGGTATAGATAAACCACATCTTCTTGATCCATTCACCTGTTGATGGACACGTAGGCTCTTTCCATGTTTTAGCTATTGTGGAGAGTGCACCCCCAGAGGTCCTCCAGGGTTTCTAAAGGCTGGCCACAGATTTGGCTCTCAGCTTCCGGCATAAAGATAAAAGATCAATTATAAGATTCCTACTCGTCATAAAATTAAAATGTACTGCTTGCTCCGAGGAGAGTTATTTTGATGGCACTGAGATCTGAGATAAACTTCCCTTGGGTTCTTTCGAAGTGTTGGAGTGAACTGGACATCTCTCAAGAAACACAAGTGGAACGTCATGGGAGTAGTCCCTCTAGCTTCCTGCAGAGCAAGACCCCAGCAAACCAGCATGGTCAATTCCACAGGCAGCGCCAGAGGCAGGGGAGCTAGGTAGGGGGGCCGTAGGACTTAATGGAAGATTTTAGTAGCAAGAGACATTAAGCTATAATGTCGGTAGTATACCTATTGCGATGATTGACATATGTCCCATAAGGGGACCATTTTCTTTTGCTCCTTTCTGAGGTGACACCAGAGTTTGGGTTTGTAGCCACATCCGAAATTCATTTGCTAAACATTTTTTAATATATGCAGCTAATATTTTAGGCCTTGTGCTAGACATTGGGGTTCCAAGGAACGATAAAAGAAGGTCTCACCCATGGAGGTGTCGAGCCTAATGGGGGAGATTTATGTATCTCAGGCAATATCTTAGATTGACCTCTATCTATAATTGGATGGCTGATCTTACCCATTTTGTTAAGAAAAATATAATTAAAAATAAAAAATTAAAATAAAAGTAATATGTTTCTTCTTTTTTTCTCCAAATCTCAGAATATATATTTTTATTGTAAAAATTTAGGAAATATATGTAGAAAAACAATATATAAAAATATAAATATTATCTCTGCCTGTCTAGTGATTATCATTCTCCAAATCCATTTTGTTCTAAAAAGAAAATACAGTTATCCTCAGAATGGTGTCTCAGTTTCAGTTTTAAGTGTTTGGCTATTGATTGCCTTGTTTCCTATAGTCAATATACTGTCGCCTACACTCTGCATGATAAATCAGTTGTCAGGGCGCCTGGATGGCTCAGTCGGTTAAGCGTCTGTCTTTGGCTCAGGTCATGATCTCATGGTTCGTGGGTTCACTGGGCTCTGTGCTGACAGCTCAGAGCCTGGAACCTGCTTCGGATTCTGTGTCTTCCTCTCTCTGCCCCTCCCCCACTTGCGCGCGCGCGCGCGCGCGCTCTCTCTCTCTCTCTCTCTGTCTCTCTCAAACATAAATAAACATAAAAAAAAGGAAAAATCAGTTATCACATTTTGACTTTTCCTTGCTTATTGGTTTCTTTTTATAGGGTCACTTTTGGCCACTCAAGGTCTGTCATTGAAACTCTCCCTTCTCCCCATGGGCCACCATCGTACTCAGTCATGACTTCATAGTCTTGAGCTCATTCTTTATGGGACCCTCTTACTTCTTTGGGACCAGTGTAGCCGCTCAGTTTTATAAATACAGCACTTAGTGTTCTTTTCAGCCATCCTCCCAAGCCTTGCTGTTCAATTAGGGGGAAGCCACTAGGCCCTCAGAGTGAAGAAGACAACTTGTATTCTCACAAAGACTTTTTCAAAGAGACTTTATCCTGAGACTTTATTCTGTAAAGACGGGTCAAAGGATATTGAATGTTGGACTAGAATCGTCTCTTTCTAAGCCAGTTTGATAACCCTCCACTGTAGTTGGAAGCCTGATGTCTGACCTTGACCAATTCTTTTAAATGGCTTATTGATTTTGGTGTTGGAAGTAAAGCAGCATAAATATTTTATGTGTCTTATGAAAATAAATCTGTGGGGCTTTGAAAAAGCAAATGTCAGTATTTGGGGTTCTTTCGTATTTACAGTAAAAACATCATGAACTTCAAAGATGTCACACAGATGCTA